AAAAAAAAAAAAAAAAAAGTACTCAAATTCTGATTTTCGTTGTGGTTTTAGGGTTCAAATTAGCAAGTGGGATTGTTTATTACTACTTAAATCCCTCACTTCATGCTCCGTTTGCACAAATTTAAAGAGGCACTGGTGTATCTTAAGAGGTACTGGTATTGTTAATTGCCTCTAGTTGTATTTGACTTGTGGATTCTGGAGAAGAAGAATTTCCTTTTGCGGGATGGGGGAAAGAATCCCTTGCCTGTATTCATCATATGGATACAAAGGCTGGAGTGTGGGAGTTTAGATCCGTATTCTTTGAGGCTTTCAGAGATCCCAGGTACATTGAAAATAGCTCAGACGATTCCTTTAGGACTGTTTTCATGATTTGATCTCTGTGTAAAGTGAAGTGAAAGTCCAGGATCAGGGTGTATTTCTGGTAACTGGGGATTATTTAAGTCTTTGAGTAGTCTACAGAGGGCTGAACAACTAGTTTAGGGTAGCGGTTTCACTTCTGTGGCAGAGGACTGCTTGGGCAGAAGTTTCAGTAACCAGTTTCTTCAAGAAAGAACTGTGTGTGCCTGTGTGTGTGTCAAAGTTTCCCCATCATACAAAAAATATAATGATTTTAATGTTTTAAACTAATGAAGTGATTATAAAATGTTTTGATGTATTTTGTTGATATCTTATGTGTGTGTAAACTTACGTGATTTTAAAATGTTTTAAAATCTAGATCAGATTAAACATTGTCTGGCTTGCACTCTAAAACTGGTTAGCTGAAGACGACTTCTCAGGTTTCTTCAGGATGCCGGCAGCACTTGTGGAGAATAGCCAGGTTATCTGTGAAGTGTGGGCCAGTAATCTAGAAGAAGAGATGAGGAAGATCCGAGAAATCGTGCTCAGTTACAGTTACATTGCCATGGTAAGGCGCTCTACTCTGTTTGACTCACCTTCTTTTTTACTTTTAGAGATGGGGTCTTGCTCTTTGGCCCAGGCTGGAGTGCAGTGGCTATTCACAGATGAAGTCATAGCTCACTGCAGCCTTCAACTCCTGGGCTCAAGCAGTCCTCCCACCTCACCCTCCCAGGTTGCTGGGACTACAGGCTCATACCACCAGGCCCCAGCTTCACTCACCTTCTTATACGGGTTTAGGGAATGCTTAATTTGAGATTTTGAAAAGAATGAGTATATTCCACTAAAGCTATTGTAAATTAAACCTGTTGGAAGGTTGTCTTGCTTTGTGAAATATCAAGGTAGTCAGTAGTAGTCTCTGAGTAGGATGTAACTTCTAGTATTTTAGAAGTCTCTAAGAAGGATGTAACTTCTAGTGTCTTAGATTTTTTTGTAACATTACTCTGTTTGAAAGTCTTTAAAGCAGAAGTAATGTCAACCCCTAGGGCACATCTGTTCCACAGATATGGTGAATTTGACTGTCAATGTTTATTCAAAATTAAAAAAATTTGTTGCCAGCATTTAAAAGTCAATAGATCTTACTTAAATTCCAGATTGTTCTGGCAATATATGTTATACACCCCTGCCTGACACTGCCTGGAGAGGGAGAGATGAGTATTGTGGTAATATTAAGGGCCTCCTGTAGAGGGGCATGTGCTCTCTGTTTTATTCCAATCCCTATTACTTGTACCATTTTCATACCTAGCTGACTTTACTCCTTCACATTAGCTGCTTGGAGTTTCTGACTCCTGCTTTAGAGATTATAGAGTTAAGTCTTTAGCTTGGTATTCAGAGCTCCTTCATCTTTTCACTCAAGCTAAGCCTGTCTCTTTATTTTTTTTTCTGAATGGATGTTTCACTTTCCTGTATTTGTATTTTTATTCATATATTGTTCTCAACCTAGAATGTTCTTAATTGACTGCGTATCTACCTGTAGTTACTCAACTATTTCTATTGACATTCTGCTTATTTAGGATCAACTTGTTGTGCAAAGCTTCATGATTCTAATGCTTCTTCAGTAGATATCAACAAGATCAGTATTTTAAGATAGAATTTTGCCAGGCGTGGTGGCTGATGCCTGTAATCTGTGCACTTTGGGAGGTCGAGGCAGATGGGTCACTTGAGACCAGCCTGGGCAACATAGTGAAACTCCATCTCTATAAAAAATAAAATAATTAGCTGGGCATGGTGGCGTGCGCTTGTTATTCCAGCTACTAGGGAGGCTGAGGTGGGAGGATTGATTGTACCTGTGAGGTAGAGGCTGTAGCGAGCTGTGATTGTGCCACTGCACTCCAGCTTGGGTGACAGAGACAGAACAACCCTATCTAAACTGGAAAAGGAAATTAGGAAGACAGAAACAAAAGGAGAAAGGATAGAAAGAAAGACTAAAAAAAAAAAAAAAAAAACCCTATAAAAAAAAAAAAAAAAAAAATTTGTGCCCAAGTTTGGGGCTTGTCACATAACTTTTATAAATGGAGGTAAAATTGTATTTATGAATTACCAATTCAGCATCCACTGTTTTGTGAAACCTTGTGATGAGCGACTTTTCCTTTTCCAGGACACAGAATTTCCAGGAGTTGTGGTGCGGCCAATTGGTGAATTTCGTAGTTCCATAGATTACCAGTATCAGCTTCTGCGGTGTAATGTTGACCTTTTAAAAATTATCCAGCTGGGCCTTACATTCACAAATGAGAAGGGAGAATATCCTTCTGGAATCAATACCTGGCAGTTCAACTTCAAATTTAACCTTACGTAAGTGATTTCTAAATAAAATTTTAAGTTTTGTTTTCACTGAATCCAGGTAGGTGTTGGATAGAATGGTCAAGCAGAGGATGGAATAGGGAATGTCAACAAGTGAAGCCTTGCTTAAAGAACTGCAGCAGTTCAACAATGAAAAGATAAACAACCCAACTAAAAATGGGCAAAAGATCTGAATAGACTTTTCTTGAAAGATAATGTACAGCTGGCCAATAAGCCCATGAAAAGATGCTCAACATCAGTAGTCATGAAGGAAATGCAAATTAAACCCACATTGGGATACCACTTCACACCCACTAGAAGGGCTATAGTCAAAAGGACATAATAAGTGTTGTTGAGGGTGTAGAGAAAATTGGAATCCTCATACGTTACTGCTGGGAATATAGAATTTTGGGGGAAATTTTGGAAAATAGTTTTGCAGTTCCTGAAAAGGTTAAACATAGAGTTGCCATATGACCTAGCAGTTCCACTCCTAGGCAGTGGAATATTCCATGGTATGTATATACCACATTTTGTTTATTCATCTGTTGATGGACACTTGGGTTTCTTCTACCTCTTGGCTGGTGTGGATATTGCCGCTATGAACGTGGGTGTGCAAATATTTCTTCAAGATCTTGTCTTCAGTTCTTTGGGATGTATACCCAGGAATTTTAAAAGAAAATTTGGGGGAGACTTATCATTTTGCTGATTGCATAAAGTGGTGTTACTGTATTTCCTATCAGATCCTGCCTTGTTTAACTGGGCATCAGGAGTGTTTCATAACTTAGGGGTAATTTTTTTTTTTTCTGTCAAGACAGGGTCTCGCTTTGTTACCCAGGCTAGAGTGCAGTTGTGTGAACATGGCTCACTGCAGCCTCAATCTCCCAGGCTCAAGCAATCCTCCCACATCAGCATCAGCCCCCTGAGTAGCTGGGACTACAGGTGCATGCCACCACACTTGGCTAATTTTTTGTAGAAAGTGATCAGCCCGCTTTGGCCTCCCAAAGTGCTGAGATTACAGGTGTGAGCTCCTCTGCCTGGCAGGAGTAATTTTTTTTGTTGTTGTTCATGTGTTTTGGAAATTTCCTTGAGGTTCAAATAATTTGGGGAGATGATCTGGATCTTTCCTTTAACTGCATTTTTTAGTTATTGTCAAAGCCTGTAGTTTGTACCGTAAAAATAAAATAATACAAGGAAGAAAAATGAATGGTTTCACTGAGGGGTTTGAGTATGTACGTGTTTAAAATAATGTTTACTTGTGGCCAGGTATGGTGGCCCACGCCTGTAATTCCAGCACTCTTGGGACACCAAGGTGGGTGGATCACTTGAGGCCAGGAGTTCAAGACCAGCCTGGGCAACATGGTGAAACCCCATCTTCACTAAAAATATAAAAATTAGCTTGACGTGGTGGTGGGTATCTGTAATCCCCGCTACTCAGAGGCTGAGGTGGGAGGGTCACTTTAACCTGGGAGGCAGAGGCTGCAGTGAGTTGAGATTGTGCCACTGCACTGCAGCCTAGGTGACAGAGTGAGACTCTGCCTCAACATAATATAATAATAATGATGATGTTGAGATTGAAGCCTAGTTATAAAAAAAAATGTTTACTTGAGATCGAAGCCTAGTTACAATAAACAAAACAAAACAATAAAATAATGTTTATTTACATGGAAAAGAAACTTGTGATTCAATACTGGTTTTAGTGGGGGGAAAAAAAATCGAGATTGTAGTGGTTTTCTTATTGTCTAACCCAAGTTTATGTGATAAGCAAGTGAAAGTCTAGTGGAACAGGAGTTGTTTAGCTTATTTCCTTACTTTTGTGTTACGTGGTATTATAACTTAATTCCTGTGGTTGAACTAATGGACGTATCTTTACAGTGGAATATTATGCCAGTGTTACAATGGAGGAATATTGATCTGTAAAGTTGGTCTGTGATGTAGAGATGTAAGGGATGTGTATGTGTAGACAGAGAAAATAGTCTGGAAAGATATGTAAATGGAGGTTTTAGATCTGTGGGGTAGTATTATAAGAACATTAATTTTTTCAATTTTTTTCATGACAAAGAGTCTTTTAGATAATTAACTATACCAGGTAATAATATGTAACAAGTTATTTAATTTTGTCATCTAGTAATTTTGATTAAGAGAAACTAAAAGTAGCTCAAACAATTACACTAGTATTCATTGTTTGAACCATTAGCAGGAATAGACTACTTTAAGGTGGGCTGCTGCTCCACATAGGTTACTTTAGATAACTATTTACAACTTTTTCATAGATAAAGCCCCTGACCTTCATGGAAGCATCAGGGGAAAAAAAAATTTTATTCCTGTCTTTCTTCAAAGAACTTTTTTCCTTCCACTAGAGTTAAGAAAGAAAAAGTCAGCAATGATACATGTGTTGCTTGCGCTAAAAGGCATAGGAAAACAGACCCATTATATTTCTAGGAAATACAAAGTAAAAAGAGAAAATCTTTCTTTTTTTAATGTCCTTTTGAAAAGATAAAAGCTTTAGGTAGGTTGTAAGTCTGTACAAAGAAGCTAGATTTGCTACTCTCCAAGATGTGAAGGGACCTGCTATGTAATATTCAGAAATCATTTACTGCCTGAAAAGTTATAAGAATATAACTTGAGCCTTGCTAAAGCTTCATACTCCCTGAGGCATCTAAAATGCCAGTCTATGGAACAGGCACTTCGTTCTTCTACTCCTCTTCATTCATGCCATAGTTTTCATGGATTTCTGGCCGATGTCACAGATAGGCCAAGAGGCTATCCAAGCTTCACCCCTGTTCTGCCAGAAGTAGGTCCACAGGCTGGTCCTCTTCTCCTGGGCTTCCTATGCCACTTGAGTGCTGCAGCTCCTTTGAGATTCCAGGGCTGTGGTTTCCTTGGCCTGGACCTCTTTCTCCCTCTGCAGGTGGTACTGTTAAGTTTCACCCTCAGCTGCTGCTTTGATCTGCCTCAGCCTCTGGGTCTTTTGCTAATGGCCCTTGGATACCTTCTCAGTGGCACATTTCTTAGCCTGTAGCAGCTGCTGGATCCCCTGAGACTGATTGGCCATGGTGGCGGTGACTCTGAGACAGAGGCAAGCAGCCTGAATCAGCTGAAAGGTGCATTGGGTCAGCTTAGCTGGCCGCCCACAATTTGTGCCTCAGTATTTTTTTGTTGGTTGATTTTTTTTTTTTTTAATTATTTTTTGAAACAGAGTCTTGTTTTATTGACCAGGCTGGAGTACAGTGGTATGATTTTGGCTCAGTGCAACCTTTGCCTCCTGGGTTCAAGTGATTCTCATGCCTCTTGAGTAGCTGGGATTACAGGTACCTGCCACCATGTTTGGTTAATTTTTGTATTTTTAGTAGAGATGAGGTTTCACCATGTTGGCCAGGCTGGTCTCAAACTCCTGCCCTCAAGTGATCTGCCTGCCTCAGCCTCCCAAGTGTTGATATTACAGGTGTGAGCCATCATGCCCAACCTATTTATTTTTGAGATAAGATCTTGCTGTGTCACCCAGACTGGGTGTGAGCACCCTCCAGTTCTTGGCCTCAAGCAATCCTCCCAGCTCAGCCTCTGGAGTAGTTGGCACTACAGGTGCATACCACCATGCTTGGCTCTGTGTGTGTGTGTGTGTGTGTGTGTGTGTGTGTGTGTGNTTTAAAAAAAAAAAAAAAAAAAAAGTTGAGATTATAGTATGATAAACTATTCAGGAAAAGTGAAAGTTTCTGACATGAAGTAGCTTTGAGAAATAAAATGGTTGAACGCTGGGGCCTGATAACTGCTGCTTTTTTAACCTCTGTGGCTTATTCTCTCCTTGTAGTGGCTATGATTTTGGCTATATGGTAAAGTTGCTTACAGACTCTCGTTTGCCAGAAGAGGAACATGAATTCTTTCATATTCTGAATCTTTTCTTCCCATCCATTTATGATGTGAAATACCTAATGAAGAGTTGCAAAAATCTTAAGGTATATGTTATTTTTTTTAATACCAGAAATAAAAATAAGGACAGAAAAAAAGCTGACTGACTTTGCTTTATTGTTATGTGTTCAGCATGCATTACTGAGTACTAGATGCCAGTGTGTTAGTGGACAGGGTATGATAGAAAGCCGATCTCACAGATTTGTGTGGTAACAATCTTTAACCTGGCCATGAAGGGAACCCTCTGCTTCTGTCACCCTGAGGCAGGCATTCTTCACTTGAGCCCCATGAACCTAGTGAAAAGGTATAAATGCAGTTTGTTAGGGATGGGGTCTGTGGTGTAACAGATTCTCAGAGGGGTTTTAACCCTAGAAAGTTTTAGAACTTGGTATCCTAATAAATTGTTGACATAGAGCTTTGCTGTCTAGAATTAGAGTGGGACTTACTGTTTCCTCAACCTTGAAGTTTTGATTTTAAAGGCAGAGATCTGGCAAAATTAACAACATAGAAAGGAAAGGAGGAAAACGTAGAATGTAGCACAATACATCATTTGGAAAAAGGGAAGAAAAGAGCTAAAAAGAGGAAACTAAGGCCTGCTAAGTAAAGGCCTGTCCCCACTTCTTGCTGGAATTTAGTGAACTCATAACTGGACTTAGTTGACTCCAGTGGAGGCGTGTTGGGTATGTAATATTACCTTTGTTTTCCTTACATCTCCAGGGAGGTCTTCAGGAAGTTGCTGATCAGTTGGATTTGCAGAGGATTGGAAGGCAGCACCAGGCAGGCTCAGACTCACTGCTGACAGGAATGGCTTTCTTTAGGATGAAAGAGGTAAGCTTCCTTGAATGTGATCATGGACCTCTTGGTAGTAATTTGCTGAAGGCTAAGAAGTTAGTGGTGGATGGTCTGGGTGGGCTGAGGTTTGTTGAACATTGTGTGTTTTTTTTTTTTTTTTTTTTTTTTTTATTATTTTTCTTTTTTTTTCTTTTTTTTTTTTTTAGAGACAGAGTCTTGCAGTGTTGCCCAGGCTGTTCTGGCCTCAAGCCGTCTTCCGCCTCAAGCGATCTTCCTGCCTTTTGCGTTGGCCCCCCAAAGTGCTGGGATTACAGGAATGCACCTCTGTGCCTGGTCAATTTTTTTTTTTTAATAATGACCAAATATATACATTTTATAATTGGGAAATTTTTAATGAGGAAATTTAGTTTATGGAGGAAAATCTCATTTTTCTATCTGTCACAGAAATATGATGATCTACTTTGTTTGCTTGTTTGAATGCTTGAAAGAGTGAATTGATCTGTTTTTAGGAAACGCATAAAATACTTGTACTATAATTGTAAGATAGTGGTAATATTGTGGCCACTACTTCTGTTTCATTATTCACCAGTTAATAAATAAATACCTTGTTTTTTTAGAGAGGACATGTACTCCCAGGATTCCATAGATCTTCTTGCTAACTCAGGACTGCAGTTTCAGAAGCATGAAGAGGAAGGGATTGACACACTGCACTTTGCAGAGCTGCTTATGACATCAGGAGTGGTTCTCTGTGACAATGTCAAATGGCTTTCATTTCATAGGTCAGTCTTAGGGAATGTGTATTTCTCTCTCACTTTGAGCTACACTGGAGCAGGGAATTGAATTCTTATTTTTTGAAGTCTTATTTCTTGAAGTTATTTTTGAAGTCCTAGTGACTGTTCTGTTGATCAGCAGCAGTCAGAAGTTGAATTGGTACTTGTTGCCCATGTTTGAGTTTTTCAGAAAACGCTGGGGCTCATACTGGTTTACTTCACACAGTATTTGGCTCTGTCATGTGGCTATCAGTGGGTTTAATTCCAAGTGGGAATATGGAGGGTGGAGAGGGTCACAGCACTTGGTTATCTTTTAAGTGGCTATCCTGGAGTTTCTTAGGTACCTGAAAGCCAGATTCTCCTTATTTTACCTTCTGAGTACTTTTGGATTTTTGGTGAATTGAATCCACAACTACAAACCCTTGGGTACTTTTTTATATCTCCCATGTTAGTCTGTTAGGTTGTTGTTAGAAAGTTCAGACTAGGCCGGGCGCGGTGGCTCACGCCTGTAATCCCAGCACTTTGGGAGGCCGAGGCGGGTGGATCACGAGGTCAAGAGATCGAGACCATCCTGGTCAACATGGTGAAACCCCGTCTCTANCCTCCTGGGTTTAAGTGATTCTCGTGCCTCAGCCTCCCAAGTAGCTGGGATTACAGGTGCCTGCCACCACGCCTGGCTAATTTTTTTGTATTTTTAGTAGAGACGGGGTTTCACAATCTTGGCCAGGCTGATCCTGAACTCCTGATCTCGTGATCCATCCACCTCTGCCTCCCAAAGTGCTGGATTACAGGCGTAAGCCACTGTGCCCAGCCAAGCCTTTCTTTATTATTAGTTTCTTTTTCTAGTTTGCGATATTTTCAGGGCTTTAGGAAGGCTGGGAGGTGCTGATGTGGTAGTTTTTTTTTTTTCTTTTTAAAGATGAGTCTTGCTGTGTTGCCCAGGCTGGAGTGCAGTGGCGCGATTTTGGCTCACTGCAACCTCCGCTTCTCGGGTGCAAGTGACTCTTCCGCCTCAGCCTCCCAAGTAGCTGAGATTACAGGCGTGTGCTACCATGCCCGGTTAGTTTTTGTATTTTCAGTAGAGATGGGGTTTCACTCCAGGCTGGTCTTGACCTCCTAACCCCAAGTGATCTGCCCAACTTAGCCTCACAAAGGACTGGGATTAAAGGTGTGAGCCACGGCACCTGGCCAGATGTGATAGTGTTTATACTTGTCATGACTCCTGGCGTAATTCTCACCACGGTTCTCTGTCCCATTCTGCAGTTGTTTTTTGAGGACAGCATTGATGACGCCAAATACTGTGGGCGGCTCTATGGCTTAGGCACAGGAGTGGCCCAGAAGCAGAATGAGGACGTGGACTCTGCGCAGGAGAAGATGAGCATCCTGGCGATCATCAACAATATGCAGCAGTGACGGTGCCAGGCTCTGCAGGGCGGGCCTCATCCCAGATTGGTGCTTACTGTGCTGACTGTACTCACCTTCCCCAAGAGAAAATGCTTCTTTTGAGCAAGCTGTACCTACCATCTGCATTGAGCAGAAAGACTTGTTTTACCGAAGACAAAAGATGTCTTTATTTTAGATCCAGAAGAGAGGAGTTTGCTCTGAATTTATAAACAAGTCTTCCCTGTTCCTCATCCCCAAGTCTCTCCTCTCCAGTTGCCTCTTGCCACCAGCATCCATGGCTCATTTGACACCTTTTTAAATATCCAGGACAAGTCTGAAACAAACTAGTAAAATGTATATAACTCTTACCTGTTGTCATTCTTTTTTTAAAAAATTTGTTGCTACTCTGATAATGAAGATTCTTGCTCTGATTCTCAGCTGAGCTGAGGGCTTCCAGGGAAAATGGAACAAAATGGTGTTCTTGTGTAATGAGTTACTGATACTGAGTCTTCCTTTCCTTTTCTAACCCTTCTCGAAGACATTTGCTTTCCTCACACTTTCATAGTCTTTCTTTACTTATTACTGTATGGAAATGAATTGCTCAGTGCTGAAATTTGAAGACCAGATAATGAAACATAAAAGCAAACAATTTACTGAATCTGTCTACCCTTCATTCATGAGAACTCCAGAATGAATGTTGACCACTGAAGCGTCTTTAAGTCTGTGTGTTCCTTTGTGCCACTGAGGTTTGCTGTCACATATACGTCATCTGAAGTCATCTGAAATTTTTGTATAATATCCTGGATTTGATCCTGAAGGAAACTAGTTAAGATCAGATTTTTGGGTCATGTCTGTTGTACTTTCAATAATGTGATTTCAGCTGGTCATCTGGATTCTCCCACTTCTCCATTTTTCCTGCTTTTCCTTCTAGCAAACCTGAAACATTAGGGAGATGGATTAATGTGAGTACCAGGAATATGTCTAAAAAGCTAGAGTAGTTACATGTAAACAGGCAGTAAGATAATTTGGGTTCTTGAGTTGTTTTGGAGTAATATCCCACAACTGGGGTAGGAAGCTCAGGACTTTTTTTTTTTTTTTTTTTTTTTTTTTTAAAGCTAGTCATTTAAAAAGTATACTATATTTTTTTGAATGACTACAGTATGGACAATTTCAAAAAACCAAAACCCCTTTTGGATTGGTAGAAATAAAAACTGGTAACTCGCTGAAATGAATGAATGGTTTTGCATTTTAAAAGCTTATGGAAAACTCAATTTGAAATGATTCAAAAATGTCAAGTATTATAAGCTAGTATTTAAGATGATTGTAAATATTATTTATGTTTTTAATTTTGTAAAATAAAGATTTCTTTTTAACCACTGGCATTAAGGTTTGGTCTTTTGTAGCTATGGATTGCTAACTCTGGAAGATGGTCATTTGCCATCAGTGACATAAGAGCATCTTGGCTTCATTGTCCCCAAGTTGGCTTACATACAAAATATCACTTGGTAGGAAGCTTTTCATGAGCACCTGTGTAAATGGAATTGCCTCTTCATACTCAAGATTGTTGGGTCTAAAAAAAAAAAAAAAAGATTGTTGGGTCTTAGTATTACAGAATTAAACCAATATCTTCTGGGGTCACTCCATTATATGTGGTGGATCAGCTTGTTGATATAGTAGGATTCTTTTAAACAACCTGAACTTCAGCTGTCCTACAATCGGCTCAAGACTTTGTTTCCACCCATTTCTATTGACACAAGATGTGGGGTTTTAAGGAGTCTAATACAGGGGCAGATAGATAGGGAATTCTGACTGGGAAGTTGACACAGAGATTTACTAGTATAGTTTGTGGTGAAACAGCAGTTAGTGGTTCTCAACGAGGGTGCCCTGGCATGCTGGTGACTGTGAGCCCTATGCAGATACCCTTCCAAATTTGAATTAAAACAGGTTTTAATATTTTCTACAATTAAGGACTTACATGTCAGGAAAAATGCTGAGAAAAAGGGCTGAGGAACTCAGTGTTGAGTGTGGGGTTTGGTCATTGAATGTGAAAGTTAAGAACTTAAGAGTAGTGGTTTAGCAAGAAAGAGCACGAGTCTATTAGAACTGGCAAGAACTTGGTATGTATGAGTGCATGTGTAAGTGCTCATCCTTAAAAAGGGATGGCACTGTAGGGTAACAAAGAGAATAATTTCAGGTGTAATTCTTTTTTGTTTTGGTATTTGTTTTTTTTTAAGACAGGGTCTCACTCTGTTGTCCAGGCTGGAGTTCAGTGGCATAATCCTGGCTCACTGCAACCTCACCCACCCGAGTACCTGGGACTACAGGCCCCATGCCACCACACCCAGCTAATTTTTATATTTTTTGGTAGAGATGGGGGTTTCGCCATGTGGGCAAGCTGGTGTCAAACTCCTAACCTCAAGTGATCTGCCTGTCATGGCCTCCCAATGTGCTATTACAGGCATGAGCCACCATGCCAGACTTGTAATTTTTTCTTTTTTTGAGATGGAGTCTTGCTCCATTGCCCAGACTCGAGTGCAGCTACACAATCTCGGCTCACTGCAACCTCTGCCTCCCGGATTCATACAATTCTCCTGCCTCAGCCTCCTGAGTAGCTGAGATTACAAACATGTGCCACCATGCCTAGCTAATGTTTGTATTTTTAATAGACGGGGGTCTCTCCATGTTGGCCAGGCTGGTCTTGAACTCCTGACCTCAGGTGATTTTAAAAGCTTATGGAAAAGTGCTAGGGTTACAGGCGTGAGCCACTGTGCCCAGCTGTAATTCATTTTTAAAATTTCGTTTATTATTTATAGAGATGGGAGCTTGCTATGTGCTCAGGCTGGCCCTGAACTCTCGGCCTCAAGCAATCCTCCTGCTTCAGCCTCCCTAGTATCTAGGACTATAGGTGTGCACCATAGCACCAGGCAACTGAGCACAATTCAGTTCCTCCATCTATACTGCCAAATATTCTTGAATTCCAGTGTTCTGCTAATCCAAGAACGGTGACCACCAACCACAAGCCTAGTTGTTAGCCAGTGCTGGTATGAATGAGCTCAATTCTTGATAGGAGGCAAAGAGTTTGTAAAGGCTAGGGTTAGTCTTGGGTAAACCACGTTTAAGATTTTTATCCAAGAGCAATCGGAAACTACCGAAAGGTTTTTAAACAGGGAATTGATGAACTCTGATTTGTGATTTAGCAGTCACTGCTAATGTGAAGAATGTAGAACTAGGAAGATCAGATTCAGAGAAACATGGGGAGGCCAATGCCGTCATCTGGGTAATGGGATGGTGGTTTGGACTCCTGGGGAGGTAGAGGAGAGGCATTAGATTACTTTAGATGGGGATAAAGAACCAAAAGAAATTGCTTGCCGGGAGCAGTGGCTCATGCCTAAAATCCTAGCACTTTGGGAGGCTGAGGTGGGCGGATCATGAGGTCAAGAGATTGAGACTATCCTGGCCAACATGGTGAAACCCCATCTCTACTAAAAATACAAAAATTAGCCGGACATAGTGGCATGTGCCTGTAGTCCCAGCTACTTGAGAGGCTGAGGCAGGAGACTTGCTTGAAGCTGGGAGGCGGAGACTGCAGTGAGCTGAGATTGTGCCACTGCACTCCAGCCTGGTGACAAAGTGAGACATCATCTCAAAAAAAAAAAAAAAAAAATTGCTTTAGTGATGTATCCTTTTCACTCAGAAAGTTAACTTGGTGCTTTGGCTCTTTGTGGTTCTGATAATTAGGGAGCTATAAATTAAAAACATTTTTTCAAATTATAATAGCTTGAGTACATTATACAGTACTGGAAAGAAGAGAGGGCTTTAAAAAATTGACTTTTCAGGCTGGGTGTGGTGACTCACGCCTGTAATCCCAGCACTTTGGGAGGCCAAGGCCAAGGCAGGTGGATCACGAGGTCAGGAGTTTGAGACCAGCCTGGCCAAGATGGTGAAACCCCATCTCTACTAAAAATACAAAAATTAGCCAGATGTGGTGGCAGGTACTTGCAATCCCAGCTATTCAGGAGGCTGAAGCAGAATTGCTTGAACATGGGAGACGGAGGTTGCAGTGAGCCAAGGTCACATCACTCCATTCTAGGCAGGGCAACAAAGCAAGGCTCCATCTCAAAAAAAAAAAAAAAAAAAAAAAAAATTGACTTGTCATTTTTATTGCTTAGTTTTCAAATAGTATATATATATTTTTTAACAGACAGGGTCTCACTGTTACCCAGGCTGGAATGCAGTGGCCTTGGCTCCCAAATTCAAGTGATTTTTTGTGCCTTACCCTCCCAAGTAGTTGGGATTACAGGTGTGTGCCACCACACCCAGCTAATTTTTTGTGGTTTTACTAGAGACAAAGTTTTGCTATGTTCGCCAGGCTGATCTCAAACTCCTGTCCTCAAGTGATTCACTTGCCTTGGCCTCCCAAAGTGTTGGGATTACAGGCATGAGCCACAGCACCCGGCCACAAATAGTAAATCTTGTTCTTACCAAAGCAGTAACTGAGGAGTGTGCAGGACTCCTCCATCCACAGGTGATGCTTCTGACAGATCATAATGGAATTTAGAATTCTAGTTAACAATACTGCTGTTTACTCAAGTGGAGGGGAATATATTTTTTCCACCTCTCTAAGTTCATTTTAGCAGTTTGCAGAACTGGTGCCCAGTTCTCTAGCTAGCCATGCCTATTTATATCTTTTAATCAAGAAAGATTCTCCATCCCTAGTAACAAAGCATCATCTTCCTAAAGTTCACTTAACTGTATAAAGAACTGTGAGGATCTACAGTATTTCCCTTTTTTGAGTTTGCCAAACTCTAATGCTAGGCACATATACGCCTTTAAAAACTGTCTCAAACTTTTTCCTTCCTGGGACTAACTGTAAATGAATTTCATTCTTACCATCCCAACAACCCCAATCCTAGGAATTGAAAAATAAACTACACACTTGAGCAGAAAAGCCTTCACAGTGAATCCCAGAGGAAAACAGTTCAATTATCTGGAAGAAGTGCTTCTTTCCACACCCATGTCAGATTCTGATTTTCCAACCCTAGCAACTGTGATATTACAGAAATATCTGTTCCTGACACTGTTCAACTGTTTAAATAATGAAGGAGGAGAGAAAAAAGATTTGTAATTAAAAAGTATTTAGGGTCCCAATAGTTGGAGTCCAATAATCCAAAGGTCATCTATGCAAAATTAGGAATATACATTTTTCTCCAAAGAGTATCCATGGCTTTAACCTGATTCTCAAAAGGATCCTATGATCCAAGAAAGTTTAAGAACCATTAAAACAGTAATTTATGCCTAAGCTATTTCACTGCCATCAATCCATTTCTTACAAAACTGAAGGGAAAACACATATTTGAATCACTTCTTCCAAAGCTTTAGTAAGTGATCTGTTCAAATAAGCAATTACATAAAACAAAAAAACCAAATTTCCAACCTAAAATTCAGACAGGAGAGTCAACATGATGGTTAAGGCCTATTTCATATTCAAACTTCAATCTATGAAAGAGTAGAGGGGGAAGGTTCTCTTCTTTCAAATTAAATATTATAAAAACAATTTTAAAAAGGTAGTCATAAAATGCAGCAACTCCATCTCAAGCATGACATGTTTCTGATCAGATGAAGTATTTATAAAGGTAGCTTGTGTTTTAAGCACATAACACTTTAGGTGATGACAGAAGTTTCTCCTCTTTGGGTGAAACCTGCATAAGGCTTTAGAGATGACCAACACTCTGCAGGTGTTTGTTCTCAGTAACAGCTGCTAGCTTTTCATGATCTTCCCTCCAGGAGGAGACTACAATTGAATCTAAAGTCAGATCCACTGTGTCTATTGCTACGTAGAGTTGATTCAAACTTAACCCTCATTTGTATTCTTTTGGATTACTGCAAAAACATCAGGGACCAGAGTGAATGTCTGATGAGGTGTAACTGCAGAAGTGAAAGGTGTCAAACATTTTCAATTTGGCAGTTTCTTCAAGGTTGTGAAAATTCATGTACAGAAGGTCTGGCAGTGCCTTTTGTAAGTTTTAGTGTTGCTGTATTTCTGAAGGAGCTCTTGGGCCTGCTGCTGCATTTCCTGGGTCAGACAGTCAGGAAAGTGGGACCTGATGAGAAGCAAGACGAGGCAGCACTCCAGCACATCTGGGAAGGGCCAGGCCTGAAAGATGACAAGACGATGAATAAGGAAACGTTTGCAAAAGAGCCACAAACACCTGTTCAGAAGGCACCAGTAACTCAGGTTCACCTACAGACACTTCTTGGACACAGCTGAGCCAGTTCTCTCCTAAGGCAATGTCCTTTCTCTTCAACAGTTACTCCAAGGAGAGATGACACTCAAAACTGGGATGGCTACTGGGAAGTCCTTCTCAATGGCACAATCTTTTTCTACAGCCCTATGTAACTCAACCCTTAAAAATGGTGCTTCTATTACTATTTGGGCCCACAACCAAAAAGACCTGTCCATCTGTAAGCTATCTAATACATGGCACCAATTTAAATTTTACTTCTGACCTATTAAATGTATTTGGTTTCTCTGAAGACTGAGGTATAAAACTGCTTGTGTGATCAATAATGCCACTCTCACAAAACATTCCAGCTAATCAAAGTAATTGGATTCTATATTTTTAAGCATGTATGAATGGGTAGACATTTTAGAAACTGAACAGAGAGGTAGATGATCTATAAGAATGTGGCATACTCAAGTGATAACACAAAAAGTAATGCTTCACCAAGTGAGTTGCTTCAACTCTTACCTTAACACTCTCAGGAAATTTCGCCATTCTCTCATTTGCCTCTGTAAGCCTCTTGGTTAATTCAGGCAGAGAAAGTGGCTCGTTTTTTTCTTCTTTACTAGCGAAAAAAATAAAAGATGTAAGTCGTATGTCTTGCCCTGGGTAACTTTTTTCTCCTATTGTTTTTTCCATGGTAAAATATATATAACATAAAACTTACCATCTTAGCCATTTAAAAATACATAGTCCAGTGGTTTTAAATACATTCATAATGTTGTGAAAAACAGCCCCACCATCTATTTCCAAAACTCTTGTTTTGTAACAAAACCTGAAATTTTATACCCATTAAACAGTAACTTTCCATTCTGCTTCCCCTAGCCCCTGTCAACCTCATTCTACTTTCTGTCTCTATGATTTTAAATATATATATATTTTTGAGACGGAGTGTCGCTCTGTCGCCCAGGCTAGCGTGCAGTGGCACAATCTCAGCTCACTGTAACCTCTGCCTACCGGGTTCAAGCAATTCTCCTGCCTCAGCCTCCTGAGTAGCTGGAATTATAGGTGCCTGCCACCACGCCCACCTAATTTTTGTATTTTTAGTAGAGACGGGTTTCACCATATTGGTCAGGCTGGTCTCGAACTCTCGACCTTGTGATCTGCCTGCCTCGGCCTCCCAAAATACTGGGAATACAGGCGTGAGCCACCGGATTTTGAGTAACTCATATAAGTGGAATCATACAGTGCATGTCTTTTTGTGACTAGCTTATTTCACTCAGCATAATGTCCTTCCTTTGTAAGGCTGAATGACATTCCATTGTATGCATCTGCCACATTTTGCTTAGCTATTCATCTGTCAGTGGATACTCAGGTTGCTCCCAAATTTTGGGTATTATGAGTAATGCTGCTATGCACATAGGCATGTACATATCTCAGAACATATTTCAGACCCTGCTTTCAATTCTTTTGGGTGTATACCCAGATGTGGAAGTGCTGGATCCTATGGTAATTCTATCTTACATTTCTTGAGGAACTGTTGCCAGACGGTTTTCCACAGTGGCTGCATCATTTTGTATTCCCACCAACAGGGCACAGGGTTCCACTTTCTCTGCATCCTCCCCAACACTTGTCTGTTTCTCTGATAGTAGCCTAATGGCTATGAAGTGCTATTTCAGTGTAGTTTTGATTTGCATTCCCCTAATGATCAGATGTTGAGCATCATTTTCTGTGCTTACCGGCTTTTTAGAGAAATGTCTATTCAAGTCCTTTGCCCATCCTTTAATTAGGTTATCTTTTATTATACCTGGGTAACTTTTGTCTTTTATTTAAAAAAATTTTTTTAAATTTAAACTTTTGCCCATGACACAGCCCTCAGGAGGTCCTGAGAACATGTGCCCCTGCCTGGGTAACTTTTATCTCATTTTATAAATAAAATTCCCTTGTCACCTGGATTTTTAAAAATTCAATTTTTTTTTTTTTTTTTTCTGTAGAGACAGGGTCTTACTGTCAACCAGGCTGGTATGAGTGGCACGATCATATCTCACTATAGCCTCGAACTCCTGGGCTCAAGTGATCCTCCCATCTCAGCCTCCTGAGTAGCTGGGACTACAAATGCATACCACCACACCTGGCTAATTTTAAAAAATTAATTTTTGTAGAGACAGGGTCTCAATATGTTGCCTAGGATAAACTCGAGCTCCTGGTCTCAAGTGATCCTCCTGCCTCAGCCTCCTAAGTAGCTGGGAATACAGGTGTAAGCCACCATGACTTGCTCTGCCACCTGGCTCTGTATCTCTCACCTTTAAATACAGAAACCAACTGGGCATGGTGGGTCATGCCTGTAATCCCAGCACTCTGGGAGGCTGAGGTGGAAGGGTCATTTGAAGCCAAGAGTTCAAGACTATCCTGGGCAACATAGTAAGACCCCATCTCTAGAAAAAAATTTTAATAAACTTAGCTGGGTGTGGTGGCACATGCTACTTGGGAGGTTGAGCTGAGAGGATTGCTTGAGTCTAGGAATTTTAAGGCTTCAGTGGTTATGCCACTGTACTCCAGCCTGGGTGACAGAGTAAGACTTGTCTTCCAAAAAAAAAAAAAAAAACACACACACACACCTAAAATCTGCCTAGGGTCTGATAGAGTAGCTTACTACAGAAGTGACTCAAATCTGATTCATGGATTTCAATGGGAGTATTTTTAGAGGGGCTTCAAAGCTTCTTAGTTTAATTTTTTTTTTTTTTTTGAGACGGAGTTTCGCTCTTGTTACCCAGGCTGGGGTGCAATGGCGCGATCTCGGCTCAC